GCTGCTGCTCCTGGTGATGTGGCGGCTGGTGATGGAGGTGTTCGACCGCAGGGAGTACAGCAGGTTCGAGAAGGAGAAGTTGAAGGCCAAGTGGAACGAGGTGAGCTGGCTCTGCCTTCCCTGAGGCACCCCACAGACAGCCGCCCTGTTCTGCCTGCCCTGCCTTTTCCCCAGAGCTGGTTGGAGCCCTGCCAGCCTGACGGGTCTATTCTTAGTTGTGGGGCGGGTGGGCTCTGGGGAGGAGGCCTCAGGCCCTCTTGCAATCGTGCAGGTGTGGGAAATAACTGGGCACAAGCCACTGTCAAGTGGTTCCCAGGCTTTAATTCCCGATGGGCCTCACGTGTCCTATACCCTCCCCAAACCCAGCACCAGGGCCAGTGGCTCCTTTGCGGCCCCAGGCTGGAGGTGTTGAGAGAACAGACACAGTTGCTGAGGGGCACTCATGGTTTGGGTGCAAGATGGGGTGGACTTTCCCTTCTACAGTGTGGGAGACACAGGGGGCCCAGAGACTTACCCAAAGCAGGTTTATCTGGAGGCCCCTGGCTAGCGGAGATGTCTCCCATTGCACATCGCTGCTGCCACTCATGCCCAGGGTTGGTCTCATGGCAGGAAGGAGGAAATGCCCATGCAGCCCTAACCAGAAATCATCGGCACATGGCTGGTATGGGGACCTGAAAAGTTAAGATTGCAGAACTGAATTGTATAGCCGCTCCACTGGCTGCCCACTGCCTCTGAGAGGGACAGCCGCCTGGCCGTACCAGGTTCTTTACAGTCCAGAAGCTCTCACCTGGGCAAATGCTTCTGCACCTGAGGATGAGTATTGGAGGGTTGGAGCAGTGTGTCCACATCACAGCAGAGGAGCGATGGCTCACCTGTCACCAAACTGTGGGGGCAAAGCTCCCCGTGACTGGGGGAGGACCACACGTGAGCAGCCCATCTCTCCGTCCGTTTGTAATGTTCGCTCGAGCCGATCCTTAGCCAGCTGGGTGAACTGAGGCTCTGTTTCTGGTACATCCAGGCAGCACTAACAACGTACCTGTCTGGTTTTTCTTCCCAGGGTGATAATCCCCTTTTCCAGAGTGCTACCACCACTGTCATGAACCCCAGATTCAATGGAGAATGACGTGGCACTACCCTGTACAGCCTGTGAAGGCTCGGCTGTTAAACCAGGAAATACCAAACTAAGGGCACCAGCATTTTATTCTCTAAGCAAAGATCTGCTGTACGCTGTTCCCTTCTTCCATGACGCTGCCAGTGAAGGGCAGGCTTTGTCCAGCGGGCTGTGTTGTGCACCTCCAGCAACCTCCTCCCTCTGCGTGGCTCCTGCAAGCTGTGTTAATAGGGCTGTGAGAGGGCCGCAGCGTAAGCTTTGATGGGTGGGATTATGTTCAGTTTGCATTAGCATGGGCTCCTGGATAACAATCCCACCTTCTCTCTCAACTCACGCTGCTGCTGCTAGAGCTTGAAACAAGCCTGCATTGTTACTAGTTTTCAACCTGCACCCAATACTGATCTTTGCTTGGCATTTTACCAGATGCCACCTTCTTTCTGGTCTAAAGCGCTCCGCTCAAAGGCTGCGGTCACTCCAATCCCTGGCCAGCCTTGCTGCGCTCTGTTACGGGAACTATTGCAGGTCTTGTAGGAAAGACAGTGCTAAAATCATTCTGGGGTCGGGCCACGTGTCGGTCTCCAGAGCTGTAAACCCACTGGGAGGGTGGTGGCCATAGGGGTGGGTGGATGCTGGTGGCTGGAAAGAGGGAGCAGTCGGCGACGTGCCCCACATCTTCCTAAATCATTGCCCTCTTGCCAGTGACTGACCCCTCAGCTTTCTGCTGCATTTCGGAGTGGGTCTGCAGCCCCGGCTGCACCCGTAAGCTTTGGGGTCTGAGCCTTCGCAGTGATGGGTTAGTGGCAAGGAAACAACTGTTCCAAATGTGAAATAGGTCCGGTGCAGCAGTCAGATTTGTACACTAACTTCATCCCATCTCACAAGGATCCTCCTCCCCTTCGCAGTGAGTCAGTCGGACACACGCACCCCAGGAGAAAGCGACAGGCACATCCCGGGGGTGTCTCCGTGCTCAGTGCTAGCTGGAAGTGCTGCATTGAATGACTAATTCTTATTTCAGAGGGTCATGCCTGTAAAAGTCTGTATGAATCTAGAACAGGGGTGGGCAAACTTTTTGGCCTGAGGGCCACATCA